CAGATCTCAACCCAATAGAGCATCTTTGGGATGTGGTGGAACGGGAGATCTGCGGCAACTGTGTGATGCCATCATGTCAATATGGACCAAACTCCCTGAGGAATGCTTCCAGCACCTTGTTGAATCTATGCCACGAAGAATTGAGGCAGTTCTGAAGGCAAAAGGGGGTCCAACCCGTTACTAGCATGGGGTACCTAATAAAGTGGCCGGTGAGTGTATATGACTAAATAATCACCAACACAATGATGGGGTGAAATGGGCTGTAATGCATGGGGCACCAGGTAAAATCTTGCCTAGGGCGGCAAATTGGTCAGGGCCGGCCCTGCATATAGGTAGTGTTGGCGGTATGGTTCTGTCCTGGGCTAAGCTCACCCGGGGTACAGAACAGAACCAGAATATGCATAATTACAATTCTCAATTACATGAGTTGTGAAAATAAATACAAGTGATAGAAAAAGCTTGCAATGACTTGAACTGTACGGGAAAAACAAAATAGTCTGAATGATTAAAGGTTGGGTTGGGTGGAGTTGGGGATGGAGGAGGGAGTTTGAATGCTATGGGGGAATTGCTGAAGGAATGGGAGTTTATATGTGCCGCTGTGGTAGATGTCGACACTGGACTGGGACACGTCCGGGACTGCTGGCTATCAGCTGATGCGAGCTTGGCTGACGTGTCCCGCCTGAACTAGACTGAACCAGAGACTTACAAATGAGGAGAGCAATATAAGCAATCAAATCAACAATATGCAAGTGCTGTGACCTTCTTCTTCTTTAGTGCCGCCTAACGGCGTATGCGACTTCATGATGATATTGGTCTCGGTCTAGCACGGCGTGTAGAGTTTGTGCTGTTGTTAATTGTAGCATGTTTTGATGTTACTTAGCCATGTTGTTTTTGGCCATCCTGGTCTTTTTTTCCCTTTTGATTTTTCCTTGCAGGATTTGCTTTAATAGCTGGTACTTGTGGCCGTTTCGGGCAATGTGGCCTAAGTAGTGACACTTCCTGCTATGATGGTCTTCAGCTGTGCCTGTCAGTGCCCATGTCCTGCAGAACTTGTGTATTGGTGGTTTTGGCTGTCCATGGGATTTTTCTTCGATACAGCCACATTTCGAAAGGTTTGAGCCTTTTTGTTGCTGTTGTTGTTAGTGTCCACGCCTCTACTCGGTACAGCAAAATGGTCCAGATGTAATATTTCAGTGTGCGTAGTTTCAGTGGTGTACTCAAGTCTGCAAGATTGTTTTCCATTTAATAAATGCTTGCCTTGCTTGTTCAATTCTGCTCTTGATTTCGATTTCATGGTTCAGCTGATCGTCAATGATTACACCAAGGTATTTGAATCGGTGTACTTGTTCCAATTTTTCGCTGGCCAGCTTGATTGTTGTTCCGCTTAAAGTTCGGCTTGTTTTCTGTTTGTTAATTCGTAGGCCCCATATTTGACTTTCTGCGGCAACTTCGTCCAAGATTTGTTGTAGATCTTGTCCCGAATCGGCCAGCAGTGCAGTGTCGTCGGCATATCTGATGTTATTGATGTATTGTCCATTGACTTTAATACCAATGTTTTTGTCTGATAGTGTTGTCTGCTCCGAGTAGATGTTGAAAAGAATCGGTGACAGTGGGCAGCCTTGTCGTACACCTTTTTGTATTGGTGTTGGGTCTGTCAGTTCGTTGTCACCAGTTGTGCTGTGACCAGTCCCAGTTATTCCAGCACAGTACATGGAGCATGTTTTTATTTTAAATTTTTATTATTATTAGCTAATAGCTATAGAATAGTAAGTGTTAGTATTAATGGGTTGAGTATTGGTAGGTCATTCCTTCAGCAGGGAACAGTCCAGGTGAAGGTCCATGAACGTGATTCTGTGTCTCTTTGAGATGATGGCACCACAGTAACACATAGGATTGATACGATAAATCATGTTTCTGAATGACAGATCCTAGATGGAGAAGAGAAGCGGTCCTAGCACTGAGCCCTGAGGCACTCCAGTAGCTAGATGTTTGCTCACCTCTCCACGACACCCTGAGGGACCTACTGGAGGGAAGACCTGACAGAAACCTTCTGTGTGTCACTGTAACTCAGGGGTCTGGGGTCCACTAGGGGCCTCAAGATGACTTTAAACTATTGAAAACCAGATTTAAAATAAGCTAAAACAGCTAAAAATCAAGATTCAACCCCTCAACAGCAAAACACCATGGAAGCTTGTTTGAGCTAACGTAAGAGAAAAAATTTAAAATACTTTATTTCTTGCAATTTTGTGTTTATATCTCTCAATTCTAAATTAATGTCTAAACTCACAGAAACAATTTCTGAATTATTGAGCGTTGCAAAGACGGCAATACCTTTTTTTTATTCTATGGCGTAAAGAAGCTTTCATAACAATAAGTTCAGTCTAATTTAAAATTGTGATTTCTACATCTGGAAAAGTCATGGAAATGAACAAAATACAACAGATTGGGCTGTTTAAGGGGATCTATTCTGCCCTCTTACAAAGTCTTGATGTTTCAGGCTCTACTAGAACAGGTTTTCCTGCTTGAATGTTGATTATTTTCCTCATATTCTCCATTGTTGCGGCTCCTCTCTTCCCAGTCTGTCAGTAACGCTCTGTTTACTTCCTGTCTCTATGAAGCCCCTCCTCCTGAAAAGCACACTGTGGTCTGATTGGTCGGCTGGAGCAGTGTGTTGTGATTGGTCGAGCGCTTCGAGTGTGTTTGGGAAATGTCCCGCCCCTTTCCATAACCGCCAGTTTAACACACTACTAACTAACTCAACCAGGCCCCGCCCCTTTATTCTGCGCATTAATTATTATAATGAGGAATATTGTGATGTGTTCCCGGAAGAAACTCGAGACTACAGTGGAGGTGTTTCAGGAGTTCAGAAACACTGACGCTGATATAGAGAAGAACTGGAGCTTCTCATGATCAAACAGAAACATCACACACTAAACACAGATGAACGTGGACAAAGACAGAATAGTTTGGTTCTCATTAAAACTTTCTGAAACTTACAGAAACTATATAAGTCTATAGACTAAAATAAATTTTGTTTGTTTTGCAGATGTACCACAGGAAACATATTAATAATAATATACTACAGTATGTACTTGTTAAATGCTGTTGAGCCTTGGAGTAAAAAATGTTGAGTTCAGAGAGAAAACGCTCCACACGTCACATGAGTTAACGAGAATGTATTTGTCGACTTTCACAGAGATATTAAACTGTTCAGTGTGTTGATGACATAAAGATGCACGTCTGGACAGATTCTCATGAGTCAAATGCCTCTCAAACATTCCCACACACACACACACACACACTGAACATGTTTCCACCAGTGTAAGTCACTCGGTTCAAAGGACGTTCGGCACAAACATCACAAGTTTGGCTGATAAAGGTTTGATAATAAAGATCCTGCAGTCGCTCCCTAGAAACACTTTAACTGATCAATAAATCTCTCGCTCGCAGATCATCTGTGAAATAAACCTATAAACCAGTCGGAACCCAGTTCGGAGCAACTGTATTTTAGAAAAACAATCAAATACACACATATAAACACATTTACAGATGTAGTGATGGATAATCACGTGAGATCTGTATAAATTATGAGAATAATAATAGTCCGGGGAACATTCTCTCAGAGATATGAACAAAAGTTCTTCCAGTTATGATAATAGAACATTCGTTTAGAGTTATCATGTCTTTAAATAGAATGTTCCCGTAATGCTCACATAGCAACAACAAAAAAAACATTTTTAAAACATTTAAAAAAAATAGACATTTTGAATATTCAGAAATAACGTTTTCATAACTTAATGGGAACGTTAGCAAAACGTTCTTACAGTTTTTTTCAACTGCTTACATTTTCAAAACTTTCTCTTTTTTTCAACACTTTACACACAAATCCAAGAATTGCACACAAAATGCACAACGCCTCGCGTCTCCTGCTAAATGAAGCACTGCATTGAGAATATCACACACATCTCAAAAGCACACATTTGTCTTACGTTGCAAACACCTTTGCCATTAATATTATATTTTTGGATATATCATATACACACAGTAATTGAAAACCTAAAGCTCTCCCTCCATCTCCCCTTCCTCTGCATCCATTGTTCAAAAACGAAAACTCGACCTTTGGCCTTTTATAGGGCCTATTCTAAAGCCATGATCGGTGTGTGTTCAGTAAAGAGTGTTTGCACATGTGAGGAGTGTGTGTGTGTGTGTGAGGCTCTGATGAATTACTGTGGTGTTTTGATAGGTTGTGTTTGAAAAAGGAAATCAAGAGTCTTCCTGTTAGATTTGTGTGTGTTACAGAGAGAATTGTGTGTTTTATGAAATTGAAAACTGAGTCGAAGGCCGAGAATGAGTGTGTGGTTTTGCAGATCTGGTGTTTGAGTGTCAGGTTTCAGAAAGTGTGATTTTGTGTGTAAGCAACCTGTGGAATATGTCAGCGGTGTCTACAGTAACAGATATAGGACACACACGTACAGCAGAGATGTATTTTACACACAGTCGTTCTGCTGCTGAAAGTGGTCGTGAGAACGAGACATTCATCGCCGCCCAAACACAAGCAGATTACAGCAGCTTTCTCAGAGTTTAGCGCACTGAGACGACTCTTAGCTTTGGTAAACACGTCAACATTCATACGTCTCTTTAACCCTGAGCGAAACAAACCCCAGTCCATACAGTCGCATAAATAAACATCAGATCGTCTCATGTACAAGCGATCGCTCACGAAACACAGGCCAGCAGAAGCAGATCCAGGACAGGTCGATATCTGATACAAGTCAAAGTTCATAGTTAAAGTTCAGAATGATTGTTAATAATGCTCTCTCCGTTTGAAGGCCACCTGATGTGATTTCAAACCTGAAAATCCAGTTTGTCGCTGGAACGTCTGGGATAAAGCGTCCCCAGCGTGAGGAACATCAGAAAAGCTGTGCTTCGGCTCCTCCTCGAGTCTACATGACACAGGCCTGGCTCTGAGAAGCAGGAGCCGCAGAGAAACGAGACCTTCTCGAGGTCCGCACGACCCGGCTCAGTCCTCGGTGTCCGCTCGCACTCCCAGCATGCTGTGCAGCTCCTCCACCGTGTATCCCAGCAGGCTGTGCAGGTCGCAGACGAAGCGGTAGACGTAGCGCTTCCCAGAGGTCTTGTGGATGATGTTCTTGTCGTAGTAGTAGCGCAGGCCTCGACTCAGCTTCTCGTAGTTCATCTTCGGCTTGTTCTTCCTCTTCCCCCAGCGCCGGGCCACCTGACGAACACACACACACACACACGTCTCACACTGGGCCAAAAATCTTTCATAAAAACAATTATTGAGATTTTTTTTTTTAAATAAAGCAATATCATTTTATCTAAATAAATAAATTAGAAATGAATGCATTCGATTAAAACAAAGAAATTAAATAATAATCCAATAAGTCTGATGAAGGTCATGAGACCGAAACGTTGCTAATAACATTTTGCTACTCGTCTGCGAGTATTGACAGTGTGTGTGATTCCCTTGTTTGTGTGTGTTTGCGAGCGGCACCTCGTCGGGGTCGGTGAGCTTGAACTCCCAGCCGTCGCCGGTCCAGCTGATGATGTTCTGACAGCTCGTGTCCGTCAGGAGCTCTAGGAGGAACTGCCACAGCTGGATGGGGCCACTGCCTGTCCAACACACACACACACACACACACGTTAAACTCACAGGTCGTGAGAATGCTGACTTTAAGCCACAGACACAACGCTTGCACCTTGGAACCCGTTTCTGGAGCTCAAACACTGTTAATGTGCAGATGAGCGGTGTCGTGTCAGCGGACCCTAACGTTAATCACTAATGATCTTTACAGCGGAAGTGAATCAATCAAAACTAACTTTATCTGGACAATAACTTTATTCTAGAGCTGCTGTAAAGCCTAAACACTCTCTGTTACTGTAATCTCCTGTTATCACTGTAAAGCTGCTGTGGAACATCTGTGCTGGTAAAGCGCTGGATAGATGAAGGAGACTCGACTATTCATGATGTTTTTTCACTCTTAAATGTGTCTTTAGGATGCAAAAACCATTGTGGTTTGAAAAAACTAAGGGTTTTATACAGTAAAACCTGAGAATAAAGATGCAAAGCTGTTTAGGGTTGCAAAACTTCAACATTCAAATGTATTTGAAAATATTTTTCAGTCAGAAAGAATACAGAATTCCACTATTTGACCATTTAAATTCTGTAATAAATATAAAATAATCAATGCATATTTTAAATATAATGTAGTCAATTTAATACCAATTAATTTAATATATATATACACCAATATACATTCCCCCTGTGGCTCAGTCGACCACCTCAAGGCTTCTTACTGGGTATTTATGTCTAGTTTCCAGTCCAAATGTCTAAAGATTCTTAAATCAAGATGCGTTTACTATACTAGTGAAATGCCATGAGATATTAAGTCTTGTTTTTTGGAGAAAAAAAATAAAAATTAAGTGACTTGTTGCTTAAAACAAGAAAAGAAATATTATTTTGTTATTATTTTTGCTTGTTTTAAGCAACAACTCACTTAATTTTGGTTTATTTCCCCAAAAAACAAGACTTAATATCTCATGGCATTTCACTCGTATAGTAAACGCATCTTGATTCAAGAATCTTTAGACATTTGGACTGGAAACTAGACCTAAATACTTAATAAGAAAAGCACTTTTGCAGTGCTAGCGCTGCATTATGGGTGTGAGGTGAGGAGACGCACCGGTGAAGCCAGCGAGCACTGCGGCAGCGATCACAGGTTTGCCCTGCTCCAGCGGCTCGTTCCTCTCCTGGACGTAGTCTTTGAAGGACAGCCCCTGTTTGCCCAGACCCAGCGGAGCGGAGCCGAACTCCTCCTCGAAGCTGTCGTAGGATGGGACGCGCTGGGCGTCAGCGAGAGACGAGTGGCTTCCCCAGGAGCGCAGAACACACTCCTCAGCGCTCTCCACACTCTCCAGCGACGTCTGATCACGGGACGAGACTGTGGGGAACACACAGCCTTCCGTTACACACACTCACTGTGACGACCGGGGCCGGGATGGTCATGCATTACAATGTCGTCTAATTATGTTACTTTTCATGTAAAGTAATGCGTTACTTTACTCGTTACTTCAAAAAAGTAATCTGATTACGTAATGTATGTTACTTATAATGCGTTAATTTACTCGTCGTATCTGATTATGTAATACACTTGTTACTTGTTACCCCAGCGCTGGCGACGCCGGGTGTGTGCGATCGCTGATATCTGACCTGTCGCACTGAGACGCGGCGCAGCTTTAGCGGCCGGGAACTCTCGACTCATGCAGCTGATGCTGACGGTGCTGAGCTGAGGTCTGGGATACATGGACAGCTCCTGACCCGATGCCAACAGGGCCGAATCAGTCTCGAAGAGCTCTCGCAGGAGACTCATGCGGTTATCAGGAACCTTCAGAGAACACTCCTCCAGACTGAGACCTTCACACACACACACACACACACTGTAGTCAGATCACTGTTGATGAAACCATCCCCTCAGGGCTTGTTCTGAACGTCTGACACGATTCAGACAAGACACTACAGGTGAACACGGTAAAGACTTTAACTAGATGTCATCATTCTTTCCACAGTTGATTAATTACAGTACATTAAGACAAATGTTCTCTATTATAGGTTTTCTGGAATGTTTTGTTTAAACATGCAACCATTTGCTGAAATTTTGGAAACATTGGATAAAACCAAGTTTTTCACTCAGAAAATATTGTCAACAGACAGAGAACAAATACATTTTTGTTGTTTTTAGGAATAAAATGTTGTATAAACCAGGCGAGGATATATATATATAACCAAACAAACAGAATGTTTATAAACCTAAAGTTTGGTGTGTGTAAAGCTGCTGAAGTGGAGATTTCTGACTCAAACTATGTATTGAAATTAACATCTACAGATGCAAAGAGATAAAGTGCAATAAAATAAACACTTAAATTTGCATTTTGTAGGTTTTCTTTCCACTAGGCTGAATAAAAGCAAATGTTATGTAAGCAAAATAGACCAAATGCATGAAAAAGCAATGCCTGTAGTGTCTCGCCTTGAATCAGGTTGAATTGTTAAAATGCACAGACTCTTCTCACTGAGATTCTGAGATAAATAAAGATTGACGGGAATCAGTGCATGTAAACATACTGACAGCCGTGGAAATGCAGTGAACACAACACTTACTGCTGGAGCTGCTGCTCGTCCATCCACACTCAGAAACCTTCCGCTCGCCGCCCTCCTGACAGGCTGAGGACGAAAATATCCAATCAGACGTCAGCTTATGTATCACACCAAAGTAGAGATGCAGCCGTATCAACATTTTGGCCGATACAGATGACCGATAATTCTTTATATTTGAAAGCCGATAACCGATAATTCTTTATATTTGAAAGCTGATAACCGATAATTCTTTATATTTGAAAGCGGATAACCGATAATTCTTTATATTTAAAAGCCGATAACCGATAATTCTTTATATTTGAAAGCCGATAACCGATAATTCTTTAAATTTGAAAGCGGATAACCGATAATTCTTTATATTTGAAAGCGGATAACCGATAATTCTTTATATTTAAAAGCCGATAACCGATAATTCTTTATATTTGAAAGCCGATAACCGATAATTCTTTAAATTTGAAAGCGGATAACCAGTAATTCTTTATATTTGAAAGCCGATAACCGATAATTCTTTATATTTGAAAGCCAATAACCGATAATTCTTTATATTTAAAAGCCGATAACCGATAATTCTTTATATTTAAAAGCCAATAACCGATAATTCTTTATATTTGAAAGCCGATAACCGATAATTCTTTATATTTAAAAGCCGATAACCGATAATTCTTTATATTTGAAAGCCGATAACCGATAATTCTTTATATTTGAAAGCCGATAACCGATAATTCTTTATATTTGAAAGCCGATAACCGATAATTCTTTATATTTGAAAGCCGATAACCGATAATTCTTTATATTTGAAAGCCGATAACCGATAATTCTTTATATTTGAAAGCCGATAACCGATAATTCTTTATATTTGAAAGCCGATAACCGATAATTCTTTATATTTGAAAGCCGATAAGCGATAATTCTTTATATTTGAAAGCCGATAAGCGATAATTCTTTAAATTTGAAAGCCGATAACCAGTAATTCTTTATATTTGAAAGCCGATAACCGATAATTCTTTATATTTGAAAGCCGATAACCGATAATTCTTTATATTTGAAAGCCGATAACCGATAATTCTTTATATTTGAAAGCCGATAACCGATAATTCTTTATATTTGAAAGCCGATAACCGATAATTCTTTATATTTGAAAGCCAATAACCGATAATTCTTTATATTTGAAAGCCGATAACCGATAATTCTTTATATTTGAAAGCCGATAACCGATAATTCTTTATATTTGAAAGCCGATAACCGATAATTCTTTATATTTAAAAGCCGATAACCGATAATTCTTTATATTTGAAAGCCGATAACTGATATATTGGCCGATAAATCAAAATCAAAATTTTTATAGAATTTTTGAGAGCCTGATTACAAAAGTCTCATCATTAAAAGCCACGTCCCAAACACACAATTATGATGTTCTGAATATAATGTTATGTAGCCGATATGACAGGCTTGCGCTGCACATGTTGCACTGAACTGTATTTTCCTTTTGTTAAGTGATTTCAATCATATTTCAAGCAATTCATAATCATCATGTTGAACAGTGCGCATCTGAAGAGTCTCAGCTGAAGGAAATAATACATTATTTATCGGCTTTAATATATCGAACAAATTGTCTTATCAAGCCGATAACATTAAAAATGAACACATATCGGCCGATACTGATATGGTGACCGATATATCGTGCATCGCTAGTCTTTACATTTGATTAGAGTTTTAGTCAATGATTTCCCTCCTCAGTGTTTCTGTCTTTATATTTCACAGATATCTAAACATTCTTAAATCAAGATATATTTACTGCACTGATAAAAATAATTCTGTAAATACTACAGAAAAAACATGGAATTTCTACATGAAAAAGTTAGTTCAGGCAAGAACTCTAAATTCTATATTAGTCCTCAATTCAGACGATTAGTCCTGCATCGCTACACACACTGAGGTCTGCGAGCGTCACCTCTCATCATCTGCTCCAGATGCTCCCACAGAATATCGCCCACGAAGTCCGGAGCCAGATCCAGGAACCCGTCCTTGCCCAGGTCGCACAGCTCCTGCCCGCTCATGTCAAACTTACAGAAGTTGATGTTGGTGAGGCTGAACTCTCCGGACGCCCAGTACAGCCACTGAGACACGTGTTGCTTGCTCCACTTACACGGGTCTACGGGACAAGACATCATTACACACACATCGTCCTCAAAGCAAACCTGTGGTCAGTAGCGGTGCAACGGGTCACACAACTCACGGATCGGATCATTCATGGATTTTGAGCCACGGATCGGATCATTTTTCGGATCAGCAAAACAAAAAAAAGGTTGGGGGGGGGGGTAACTTTGCTTTTCATTTATTAATTAAAAGCTCACTTGAAGCTCTTCGATGCCACATCAGAAACTACTAGCCTAACTGATAAAGTTCACAGATTATTAAAGACAAGTGAACAGCCGATAATAGAATAAGAACAAATACACAAATTACAAGCCGCACCGCTAGTGTTCAGGCCGGACCCGTCGCACCGCTAGTGTTCAGTGTTCAGGACGGACCCGCCGCAACGCTAGTGTTTAGGACGGACCCGCCGCACCGCTAGTGTTCAGGACGGACCCGTCGCACCGCTAGTGTTCAGTGTTCAGGACGGACCCGCCACAACGCTAGTGTTTAGGACGGACCCGCCGCACCGCTAGTGTTCAGGATGGACCCGTCGCACCGCTAGTGTTCAGGATGGACCCGTCGCACCGCTAGTGTTCAGTGTTCAGGACGGACCCGCCGCACCGCTAGTATTTAGGACGGACCCGCCGCACCGCTAGTGTTCAGTGTTCAGGACGGACCCACCGCAACGCTAGTGTTTAGGACGGACCCGCCGCACCGCTAGTTTTCAGTGTTCAGGACGGACCCGCCGCACCGCTAGTGTTCAGGACGGACCCGCCGCACCGCTAGTGTTCAGTGTTCAGGACGGACCCGCCGCACCGCTAGTGTTCAGTGTTCAGGACGGACCCGCCGCAACGCTAGTGTTTAGGACGGACCCGTCGCACCGCTAGTGTTCAGTGTTCAGGACGGACCCGCCGCAACGCTAGTGTTTAGGACGGACCCGCCGCACCGCTAGTGTTCAGTGTTCAGGACGGACCCGCCGCACCGCTAGTGTTCAGTGTTTAGGACGGACCCGCCGCACCGCTAGTGTTCAGTGTTCAGGACGGATCCGCCGCACCGCTAGTGTTCAGTGTTCAGGACGGACCCGCCGCACCGCTAGTGTTCAGTGTTCAGGACGGACCCGCCGCACCGCTAGTGTTCAGTGTTCAGGACGGACCCGCCGCACCGCTAGTGTTCAGTGTTTAGGATGGACCCGCCGCACCGCTAGTGTTCAGTGTTTAGGACGGACCCGCCGCACCGCTAGTGTTCAGTGTTTAGGACGGACCCGCCGCACCGCTAGTGTTCAGTGTTCAGGACGGACCCGTCGCACCGCTAGTGTTCAGTGTTCAGGACGGACCCGCCGCACCGCTAGTGTTCAGTGTTCAGGACGGACCCGCCGCACCGCTAGTGTTCAGTGTTCAGGACGGACCCGTCACACCACTAGTGTTCAGTGTTCAGGACGGACCCGCCGCATCGCTAGTGTTCAGTGTTCAGGACGGACCCGCCGCACCGCTAGTGTTCAGTGTTTAGGACGGACCCGCCGCACCGCTAGTGTTCAGTGTTTAGGACGGACCCGCCGCACCGCTAGTGTTCAGTGTTCAGGACGGACCCGTCGCACCGCTAGTGTTCAGTGTTCAGGACGGACCCGCCGCACCGCTAGTGTTCAGTGTTCAGGACGGACCCGCCGCACCGCTAGTGTTCCGTGTTCAGGACGGACCCGCCGCACCGCTAATGTTCAGGACGGACCCGCCGCACCGCTAGTGTTTAGGACGGACCCGCCGCACCGCTAGTGTTCAGTGTTTAGGACAGACCCGCCGCACCGCTAGTGTTCAGTGTTTAGGACGGACCCGCCGTACCGCTAGTGTTCAGTGTTCAGGACGGACCCGTCGCACCGCTAGTGTTCCGTGTTCAGGACGGACCCGCCGCACCGCTAATGTTCAGGACGGACCCGCCGCACCGCTAGTGTTTAGGACGGACCCGCCGCACCGCTAGTGTTCAGAGTTTAGGACGGACCCGCCGTACCGCTAGTGTTCAGTGTTCAGGACGGACCCGTCGCACCGCTAGTGTTCCGTGTTCAGGACGGACCCGCCGCACCGCTAATGTTCAGGACGGACCCGCCGCACCGCTAGTGTTTAGGACGGACCCGCCGCACCGCTAGTGTTCAGTGTTTAGGACGGACCCGCCGTACCGCTAGTGTTCAGTGTTCAGGACGGACCCGTCGCACCGCTAGTGTTCCGTGTTCAGGACGGACCCGCCGCACCGCTAATGTTCAGGACGGACCCGCCGCACCGCTAGTGTTCAGGACGGACCCGCCGCACCGCTAGTGTTCAGTGTTTAGGACGGACCCGTCGCACCGCTAGTGTTCAGTGTTCAGGACGGACCCGCCGCACCGCTAGTGTTCAGGACGGACCTGCCGCACCGCTAGTGTTCAGTGTTCAGGACGGACCCGCCGCACCGCTAGTGTTCAGTGTTCAGGACGGACCCGCCGCACCGCTAGTGTTCAGTGTTCAGGACGGACCCGCCGCACCGCTAGTGTTCAGTGTTCAGGACGGACCCGCCGCACCGCTAGTGTTCAGTGTTCAGGACGGACCCGCCGCACCGCTAGTGTTCAGTGTTCAGGACGGACCCGCCGCACCGCTAATGTTCAGGACGGACCCGCCGCACCGCTAGTGTTCAGGACGGATACTCACTGCTGGAGATGCCACAGATGCGCTGGACCTTCGAGAAGCCGTTGAAACTGTCCTTCAGCGCCTGACTGACCACGGCTTTACTGCAGGGCGTCAGCAGCGGCACCGCACACACTCCGGCGTCTGAAACACACACACGAGACCAATGGAGATCTGCCGTCAACTTACAGGAACATGTTGGCCAGTAATGAGTCTAGGGTTGGGGATCGAAAATCGAATACTTGAGGTCTGGAATCAGATACTCATTATACAATTTAAATTTCGATTCCTTTGTGAGCGTTTCAATATGAGTTAAAGCGCGAGAGACTGTGTGTTCTGTGCTCGTGTGTGTGTCGGTGTCCTGGACCCGCAGCTCTTAAAGTGACAGCGCTAATATTCCTGCGTCTCTATAATAACACTAATCACACAACAGAAGACAGAGAACACACACTCGCTCCTCGCTGAATAACTGTGACTATATCTGTAATGTATATTTTATTGATAAACTTCAGTGTTATTTTACATTTAATTACAGTTCCTGAACCTGAAAATCTTAAAACACTGTTTATTTCAATCGCATCTTTGTTCAGTTGTGTCTATATGTTGCGATTGCTAATTTTTTAATAACTGAGTGTTTACTCGTCTTTAATAATGCTGGAAGTGTACATTAGTTGGGCTAGTTGTTCTTCTATGGTGTGTTTAAAGCTCAGGCTAACGCTCCTGTGTAAGTGTTCTTCAGCTGATGATTTCTGCTCATGATATTCAGATGCAGTTACAGTTCTGCAATAAGACTAAATGTGAATGATTACCCTGAGCGCTGCAGTCCAGGCCGGACGGCACCTCCTGCTCCTCCTCCAGCGGACAGAAGCTCGAGAACAGAGACATCGGGTCTTCAAACATCTCGAACGCTGCCTGGCGCTGAGGAGCACAAACACAAGCGCTGTTAAACAGCTACAGTCACCATGATATCAAAAACCGACATGTTGCAGAGTTTATTCTGAATGGTGTATCGGTGCACATCACTACTCTCGGTAAAGTACCTAAACAACATCTCACAGGAACCAACTGTAAAGTCCCCTGTGTTAAAGCCAACGTTTAATGTTGTTTATGTGTCTATGTGGTGTTTTTAATACGCTTTAAGACACACATGTGTAAGTTCATAAGTCGACAGCATTGCTGAGTATTTTCTGCTTAAAACTGCAGTGAACCAAAGACAGTCTCAAAAACACGGTTTGAAATCGCTGGTGTTTCTGACGTCACAAACCAATCAGATCAACGTGTGATCGTCAACCAGTGGATCTCTGAGCCGAGTGAGTGAGTGGAGGCGGGGCTCATCTGCATATTCATAGAAACACACATAATAAATGAGGCAAGGGTGTCGAGTTACATTCAAGATATTTTAAGGCATTCTTTCAAAGAAAAAACGTTTAAATATGTAATTTTGGTGATCAAAGATGAGTTTTAAGGGATAAGGTTATTGACTACAGGGGGACTTTAAATTTGGAACACAACTTGGTTCAACCGGGACATGTGGCTGTGTAAAAAAAAAATCAATAATATATACTGTGTAGTTCAGTTAGTTTGCTTAGTTTGCTAGTCAAACTTCTATAACTTTTATACACTTTCAGTTTTGAAGTGCTTTCACTTCTGCAATAATCTGCTGAGTGTTTCTTTAAGAACAGACCAATCTGAGGTCGTGTTCCAAAGCATTCATGAATTACAACCATGGGGGTGAAAGTGAACAGGTTAAAGATAATATCTCTCTCACACACACACACACACACACACACACACACACACACACACACACACACACACACACACACACACACACACACACACACACACACACACACACAACTCTTTATTGAGTTCAAACCGGCACGGGCAGGAAAACCCCAGAGGACACGCCCTTACGCATGACATCATCACTAGAGCCGCGCCACTAATGGGAGCGCACGACCATATATGGCCTTCCGGTTCCGTGCCAGCGTGAACTGCGTGGGCGAACCCGAGCTGACCTCCAATGACATTACAGCAGCTCTCCTCTCGACAAATCACAGCACAGATCTAATCGAGAGCGCGCTCACACAACAAGCAGATGTGTGTCTTATAATAAACGAGCACATCTGGGTGTGTAACATCAAATACACAAACCTGGCTGAGAAATAATCCAAAAACAATATTTAGTATAAATACTGATCTTACCTTTAGTGTGTTTCTAAATCCAGGTAAAATAGACTCCATGTTGCACATTGAGACCTGAGAAAGCAAGAAAATATTTATAACAAATACATATTATTATAATTATCATAATCATTATTTTCTTCTTCCATCTATCTTAAAATCAACAACAGTAAAGGCGTAAATGTTAGCGTGTCTAATTAAACTAGATTAATGTCTGATCAGAAGTGAATCTGTGACAAAGTTTCCTGCGAGTCAAACGCGAATGTGATTCATGATTCGTGACTCACTGAGAGCGAGCAGAATAGAATGTGATTCAGCTTCATATACATTATATAACACTACAGTACATGATTAAGTCATTATCTAAATCAGATTATTCATGTATATTTTACATCTCAACTGCAGAATCAAAATACATAATGATTATAAACAAAACAGAACATGAAATGAATAGAATTAAAAGTAGAACAGAATCAAACTGCTGTCTGTAAATCGTGTTAATTGATGATATTGAAAATAATGTAGTATTGATGGGTTTAATGTTACTAACCTGTTGAATTCCTGCAGAAAGATGTGAAGTAATTCCGATGTAAATTCTGCGGTTTGTTTTATTCCTCTGATCGATCGAGTACACTCCTGATATCGATCGATGGCGCTGATATTCGCAGCTCGTGTATATGTGTGTGTGTGTGTGTGTGTGTCGATGGATTAGTGAGCGCGTTTAGGTTGTGTTTCGTCTGTGCGCGTGA